TTTAGGTAGCTTATAGCGTGCTTCTGGGGAGTGGGGGGGGGGAGGGATGTTTTTTTGCTCATTTCTGCCCTCCCCAGCCCCTAGGAGCTCTCTGAAAGCCTTCTAAAAGCTATGCATGGCCATTTTGGTCATGGGGCGGAGTTTCAGGAGACAAAAAATACTGTATTCAGTGTATAAGACGCACTGGCCAAAGTGGGGCGTAGGGGACCGTGGGACACCCCCCACACACCCTGTTTTGGCTGGCAAAGTGCTGCAAGAGGCCATCCAGGGTGAAAATAGGCTGTGGGGAGCCCCCCCTGAGGTTCCCCCATACCCTATTTTGGCTGCCAGAGGCACTGCGGGTCGGTCCTTTGCTGTTTCCAAATGGCCACACGGGCCAGATTTAAGCATCCCTTGAGTTTGACAACTCTGTCCTACACCATCGTAATCTAACCAAGCCTTTTCCACCTTCTGCTCCCTGACCATCATTTCAAACCAATACAATGACTACTAATTACAGATACTGTTTGTTGTTCAAGATGAGGAGGGACAGTGAACGAAGCGAGTGAGTATCAGTTGAGGATGGAGATGATCTCCATCAGGTCTTTGAAACATGTGCATTATTCACGTTGCAGCATTTCAAAAATGGGAATGTTTTATTATTTGTTAAGAAATCAGTAGAGGGGCCTTAACAGAAAAAAAAAAGTGTCTCCTTTACATTATAATCGTTCAATATTTGAGAACTTTAAAACTATGGCAATTAACCCTTCTGCTCAATTTGTGACTGGCTGGCTGTAAGAGGTGGATTATCATCAGTCCTCTACGCTCTATTTATAGGCACCACTTACATCAACTGAATAGGGTGAATCATTAGCATAACAAAAACCCCAAGAGAGAACCGCACTACAGGAAGACAGCAGAGTACAGTAGATTTTAATGGAACTCTCTGCATCCCAGCATCCCTTTGCTGATTTCTCTTTGCTTATTTTATTCACAGTGCAGCAATATATATATATGTATATGTATGTGCATATGTATGTATGTTTACAGTTTACGNGGAAAGAAAAGAAAGTCTAGTTGCCTTCTGAAAAAGCACCTTTGGCACAACCATGGCCTGGATATTTGAGAATCTCTACAGACTTTTAGCTAGAAGGGGGGAAAATTACAAACTACAGGAATCAGGAGCACTACTCAGGTGACCCTGAGGACACAGATAAGCCTCCAAGTGCTTCAACCACCCTCTAAAGGATGCAAATGACCAGCTATCTGCAAGGAATATAAATCCTTCCATTCCCTATTACCCTGCCAGAACTGAAGAAGCTTCTTGGATGAGAAGAGAAACATCTTCAAAGAAAAAACAAGAAAGTCCATTTGCCTCCTGAAAAATGCACCTTTGGGACTATACTCCTATATTGTATGGGTGGCTATATATCATTATCAATCCCATCAGGGTCAAAAGTAGATATTATCCAGATGATCATGGATGATTCAATGGATATCAGATGGTTTTGTGATTACAGATTATACATAGAGGGCCACTATGTAGAAACCACAAATCCGTTTCGTGCAGTCCCTGTCAAGTAACTAGAAAGTTACTATAGGTTATCAATTATGGAGGCTCTTGGGAAATGCTATGACTCAATCTCTTTCTCAAGAGGGAGAAGAGCAGAGCCTTGAGAATAAGGAATTAATCATCAGAGTTGCAGAACTATATCCAAGAAACTTACGGAATGAGAACCAGAGGAGACAGAAATATTCAGGCTAGTGGGGCTAGAATAGGTTGGTAACAATGGATTTGGAACAATATCTCAATGGAAGTAACATACAGGAGAAAAGATAAGAGGTAAAATACAGGTTAGAGCAAAACATTTACTTACTTGCTGACTTTTGCTCCTGCATCTCTGTAAGAGCCCCACCGTAAGCCACTGACAGCAAACACTGGCTGTTCTTTGTTCCCCTTTCCATAAAGGAAAACGCAAAAACAGAAATCACATTTTATACAGAGGCAGCCAAACCTTTACATCACATTCATCTAGTGATAGCAGCATCAGCAGAATAAATGTGTATGGCTGTAGGTTAAAAATACAAATTACAAATGCTGACCATTGTATGTTACCCCAGCAGGTTGATAGAAAAGAATGATAAAAGGTAAATATTCCCCTTGCACATATGTGCTAGTTGTTCCCAACTCTAGGGGGCAGTGGTCATCTCCGTTTCAAAGCCGAAAAGCCAGCACCGTCCTCATGTGGCCATCATAACTAAATGCCGAAGGGCATAGAAAGCTGTTACCTTCCCACCAAAGTGGTCCCTATTTTCCTACTTGCATTTTACATGCTTTCAAACTGCTAGGTTGGCAGAAGCTGGGACAAGTAATGGGAGCTCACTCCGTTACGTGGCGCTAGGGATTCAAACCGCCGAACTGCTGACGTTTCTGATTGATAAGCTCAGCGTCTTAAGACACTGAGCCACTGCGTCCTTCTTAAAGAATAATAGGTTATAATAAATTAATGCAGACTGAGTTTAGCTCCCTCTTTTCCACCAATTTCGTTTAGTGAAGAAAAAGCAAAACAGATCATTTAGCAACTTTGCTTGAGGTGCCTTGCTGAAATAAAAGGATTCTCTTCCTCTTCTTCCTTCTCTTCCTTTCCTTTGCTCCCAGGCTACTATTTTCATTGTATGAAACAGGTAAGTCAAAAATAGATAGCTAGATATGCCTTCATAGAATGAAATCATTGTGTACTTTGGCAGTGGGCAATGTTATCTGCACCAATAACTAAAAAATTAAAAGTAGAATTGCCGAGCTAAATAATAAAGCAAATACCTTGTGCTACCTATATGAATGCAGCTGTGTTTCATATATGTCAGAGGTGTCAAACTCAAGGCCCGTGGGCTGCATCAGGCCCGTGATGTGGTTAGATCTGGCCCACGGAGCTGCCCTGGAAACAGCAAAGGACTGGCCCGCACTGCATCCTGGGGTCCTTTGCATAGCCTGAGATGGACAGCAAGGCTCCTCTAGGGCAGTGGTCTCCAACCTTGGCAACTTTAAGACCTGTGGACTTNTTTTTTTTTTTGAAAGGTGGGGGGAGCATGCAGAACTTTGGAGGCTTGTAGAGTACTTCTGGGGGATTGGGGGGGGGAGTAAAACAGACAAAAAATGGCCAGTTTTTTTGCAAAAATGGGCCGTTTTTTGCAAAAAATAAAAAGGGCATGCAGAGCTTTGGGAGGCTCTTATAGTGCTCTTGGGGGCTGGTGGGGCCCCAAAACTAGCAAAAAGCGACCAGTTTTTCACAAAAAAGAGGGGGGCTTGCAGAGGCTGTGGGAGGCTTGTAGAGTGCTCCTGGGGGCTGGGAGTGGGGCAAAAATGTGCAAAAACAGCCCGTTGTTTGCTCATTTTTGCCCTCCCCAGCCCCCAGGAGCACTTTGCAGGCCTCCCAAACCCTCTGCACGTCCATTTTTTCAAAGGGGGTGGGGTTTTGGTAGGCCAAAAATGCTGTATTAGTGTATAAGACGCACATAGATATTTACCCTCTTTTTTTGGGGGGGGGGGAAGGTGCATCTTATACTCCAAAAAATACGGCATCTAGAGGTCATCTGAATGTAGCAGTCTAACATGTCATACCCAGCTTAATCCAGTGAACTACAATACTTAATTGCATATATGGCTATTTTTATACTATTTGTACAGAAGGTGGTTTTTCTAGCCTGCTTTTGCCTCTTACTAAGCAAGTGGTGTTGCAGAAGGAAGGGCATTCCTCCATGCAAAGCGTGCTCATATTTATGTGGTTTAGAATCTTAAAACTTTAATCAGCTTCGGCAAAGTTTAAGTGAAGAGAAAAAGTCTTAACAGGAAAAAGTCTATTAAAATAGAGCAAAAACAATAGACCTGAATCGGTCTCTCAGAAGAGTCACAGAATCAGTTTACATACAATATCCTTGCGTCAATTTTAAAAGCAGACTATTGTGCTTCCCATTCCACATCTACTGCAAATCAGCAGTTATCACAGGCTAAACAGAAGATAGCTCGCTAGAGAGGAAGAACCTATTTCTTCAGAGAGCACTTAGGAGGAAAACAATAGTGAACTGTACACCTCAGTCTTGGGGGAGAGGTAACCATTCTGGTTCATACATGTAGAACGCTATATAGAGAGTTTTCATGTGACACCTATAGCTTCTCACTTATAACACTACACTCCTGTAAGTCTATAGAGATTCTCAGCCATCCATGGAGGTGCTTTTTCAGGAGACAACTGGGCTTTCTTATAAGTAAGTAAGAAAGTAAAAAAGAAGGAAGGAAGGAAGGAAGGAAGGAAGGAAGGAAGGAAGGAAGGAAGGA